AGCCGGATGCTGCAGACACCGTTAATGAGACGCCGACGTTTGTAGCTGGGTGAAGGCATCCGAGTTCAAGCGGACACAACCCCACATTCGAGGAAGTGAGGGTAAAGAGACCACAGGAGCCAGCAGCTCTGCTTGACTTGGCACCCATCAAACTTTGGGAATAGAAGGTAGTGCAGAGGCACCTGGGGGGCTCCGTCGGTTGGGCGCCCGACTCTTGATTTCGGCTCAGGTCATGATCCCAGAGCTGTAGGATCAAGCCCCTGCGTCGGGCTCTGTGCTGAGTGTGGAGCCTGCTTGGGATTCTCCCTCCCTCGCTCTCTGCCCCTCTCCCCTGCTTGTGTGCTCTCTCCCTCTAATATTAAAAAAAAAAAAAAAATTAAAACTACCCAAAGCTATCTACACATTCAATGCAATCCCAATCAAAATTGCACCAGCATTCTTCTCGAAACCGGAACAAGCAATCCTAAAATTCATATGGAACCACAAAAGGCCCCGAATAGCCGAAGTAATTTTGAAGAAGAAGACCAAAGCAGGAGGCATCACAATCCCAGACTTTAGCCTCTACTACAAAGCTGTCATCATCAACACAGCATGATATTGGCACAAAAATAGACACATAGACCAATGGAATAGAATAGAAACCCCAGAACTAGACCCACAAACGTATGGCCAACTGATCTTTGACAAAGCAGGAAAGAATATCCAATGGGAAAAAAAATTTTAAAAAGTGGACAGACTAATCATCAGTTTGGGACCCCCTCCGTGATCTTTGCAGCCAAGGCTCTGAGGTACTGGCTGACCAGTGGGCACTGATCAAGAGCCTTTGGAGTACAGGGCTGTCTGCCAGACCTAGGCCAGGGGTGGCACAAGAAATCAGGTGTGCCTCTGCCCTCAAGGAGCCCACAGCTGGAGTTAATGGAGAAGATGCTGGCAGCGCAGGGCTCCTGACTTGTAGATCGAAACCCGGCTGCATTCCTTTAGAATCCTCCCAAGACAGAAGGTGCCAGGTTGTCTTTGCTCGAGTTGAGGCACGTGAGCTTGGGTGAGAGTCCATAGGCCTGGCTTCTGGTCTTAGCTCTGCAACCGTGGGTTGCCTGCTTTGTGTTAGGTGCTGGGCGACAGGTCCATCCCGTGTTTGGTGGGCACAGACTGGGGGGGGGGGGGGGGGGAGACGCACATCCACTCGGTAACCACCTAAGCAGCAGCAGAACTCCAACCGGGATGCACTGTGTGAAGGAAAAGCATTTAGTGCTAGGAGCACATGTGACCTGGAGATCTGACTAGTTCTGAGGGTTGAGGACTGTGTCTCTAAGGAAGGGATGCCTAAAGTGGATCTCCACTGACAGGATGGTCCAGAGGGTGATCCCTGAGGGTCTCTCTCTTGAAGCTTTTTGTATGGAAACCTTTGGAAGTTTTTAAGCACGGGGGCGGGGGGGGGGGGTGGGGTGGGGGCACGGAGGAGTGACATGTTACAATGTGGGCTCTTTAAAACCTGGCTTCGGTGCCTGGGTGGAGAATAGATTATAAAGAATCAAAAGTGGGAGGGGATTATTCAACCATGGGAAGGAATGAAGTTTTGATACATTGTTACCACATGGATGAATCTCAGAAACGTTAGGTTCAGTGAAAGAAGCCAGATGCAGAAGTTCACATCTTGTGTAAATCCATTTATACGAAATACCCTGAATCGACAAATCTAAAGGGACAGGAAGCAGGTCGGTAGTGTCGTGGGAGCGGAGAGAAACTGCTTAGTGGGTACAGGGTTTTGTTTGGGGGCGATGAAACTATTTTGGAACTGGATAGGGATGGTTGTTGCACAACATTGTGAATGTGCTTTATGCCACCGGATTGCTCACTTTAAAGTGGTTACTATATATGATGTGAATTTCGCCTCAATATAAATAAAAGGTAAAGACCATAAAAAATAAAATAAAATAAAATAAAAAAACCCAAAAAGCAGTGGGATTGAGGGTCTGATTCTGACACAGCAGCAGCAGCTGAGTTGAGGGAGGAGCGTGGCTTGGCCCAGAGCTGTGTGGCCACAGATGGAGACTAATGAACCAATTCGAAGAGGTAGAGTTTTCTCAGGATCTTTTCGTTTAGATAGTCCATGCAAATTAGGCTCCAGAAAGGTCAGAAGAACTTTGCTCGATTCCAGCGCTGGAATGAATAATCCTTTGCGGTACCTGGTGAAACCAGTGCATTTTCCCTAAGCACAGATTATGGCCCCTGAGCTGAATTAGACATGCAGCTTTTGCTCCACCCGGCTCTGGGGCTACTGTCAGGACAGCCTGCCATGTCAGGGAGCTCCGACTTGCCCGCCTGTGTAGACAGCAGCATGGTCCACCCGGGGCTCATACGGCCCCAAAGGATGGAGCTGCCCTCGCCGATGCTTTGTGCCATCCCATTTTGCTGCTTTCCCCCAAACTGGCCCCGAGTCCAGGGAAGACATTTATGCAATAGGTTTCTGATATCCTGAGATCTTGGAGAGGATGTTCTTTTTAATTACACCTGCAGGATATACTGCAAAATATGCACTGAATCTTACACAGTCACAGTCATTGGACACAGTCATTTGTGTCTGTTTTCTCCTCTGAGTGTGCTGGGTAATGAGGGCAAATGGTAAAGGTGAGTCCCATATTCTGTCCATGAAGGCTTCCTCGGTGGGCGGGAAGTGATACGTGATTTCCTTCCACCTACTTTGATCAAGTAGCCATTCATTCTCCACGTTCTCTTCCTCCTCCCCTCTCTTCCTCCTGTCTTTCCATCCTCCCATCCTCTCTTCCTTCATTACATCCACCTTTCCATCCATCCATAATCCTTCTGTTCTTCAGCCTTTTCATCCATCCCCCGTCCATCCATCCATCCATCCATCCACCCACCAATCCATCCATCCACCCACGCATCCATCCATCCATCCATCCATCCACCCATCCACCCACCCACCCACCCATCCATCTATCCACCCACCCACCCATCCACCCATCCATCTATCCACCCATCCACCCATCCACCCATCCACCCATCCATCCATCCATTCACCCATCTATCCATCCATCCATCCATCCACCCATCCACCCATCCATCCATCCATCCATCCATCCATCTATCCACCCATCCTTCTTACATCCCTTCCTTCCTTCCATCTATCCATCTCTTCATCCATCCATCCATCCACCTTTTTATCCATCCATCTACCCAACTAACATTTATTTATATATACCCCTTCTCTGCTCCATCTGTGGCCCTGAGTTGGTAAAGCAAATTGACTCTCTGCAGTCACTGAACTACTGTTAAACTTGGGCTTAGACTTGGTTCTCCTTATACAAGGGATCTGGCTTGTCATTTGGTGGCCCAGTGCCTCAAGGCTCCTGTCAGTGTTTTGGAACTAATGATGGGATCTCTTGCCAGAGGATATGACTGCATCCTATTCACCTGCCAAGAGTAGCGGTGGGCTGAGAGTTGCTGGATGTTTCAGGTGAAAAACACGGCTTGGCTTCAACTTTTGGCTTCTTCAAGGTTAATTCCATGCTATATGGACACCCAGTTTAACATGGTCACAGTGAGGTTCCCAACAGGTAACCTTGCTCTGTGCAGGGCCCTGTGCCAAGCACGTCATCTCGTAGAATTGTCACGACATCCTTCTTAGGTAGGTGCTATTGATTTCCCCATTGTCCAGGTAGGGAAACTGAGGCACAAAGAGAGGAGATCACTTTCCTGAGGTCACGATCAGGACCTGAGCCCCGGCCTCACTGATCCCGAAGCTTGCCGAGTTTAACTCCAAAATTAGATTGCCTCGGTGTAGATGCCTACCCTGTGAATCTCCCCCATTTGGAGACTCTTGTGGAATGAAATGCCTTGTTTCCCTCTCGGGCAGGGAGAGCCAGCTAACGTGTGCTGCTGTAACAGGAAGTACTTTCCTGGGCCTTGCTTCAGACCCCCAGGGAGATAATAAGTGGGGCTGCCAGCCCAACGCAGTGAGGGAGAGACTTTGCAGGCGCACTTAGATTCCTTAAAGCTGATGAGCAGCAGACCTCCTGGAGAGGGTGACTTTTAGGCTGCCCATGTGTGGGAGGCCTCCAGCCTTTAATTAAGGCACCTTCCTGGGCTCTCCACCTACAAACAGAGAAAATTTGCAAGGAGGGTTCACTTTGGCCACAAGATGGCGCCCAACTCTGGGCCCGACCTGAATGGGGCCGTGGTGGGGGGTGGGGGGACGGCAGAGGGGGGCGTTCGGGGGGGTGCAGAGTGGTTCGTTCTGGATGCTGTGCCAAATCACACCCTCTCAAACTGCTCCTTGGGAAGGGGAGAAATTTTCCAAACCAACCCCAGAGGTTCATTCCATTCAGCTGGTGCCGAGCCAGGGTCTGAGAGATCCAGCAACGAAAACGACAGGGTCCCTGCCTTCAAGGAATTAGAAGGCAGCATGCTCAGTGCCAGTCATAATCCAGATTGGTCATTTCATAAGCTTTTAATGAGCACCTACCGTGTGCCAGGTTCTGTGCTAGTTGCCAAGGACAGAGAAACAAACACTACAGAGTCATTGCCCTCAAAGACCCACAGTTCACTTGGGAGACAGACACTAAAAGAACAAGTTTGGGAAAATAGGCAAGTACAGCCACAGGGATACATATAGAACATCGTAGAAGAATGGAAGAGGAACACCCGACCCAGGCAAGAAGGGAAGGGGAGTATCAGGGAAGGCTTCCTGGAGGAGAGGACACCAGAGCGGAGTCAGAGAAGACAGATGGGGATCAGCCAGGCAGGGACGGGGAGGGTATTCTGGGCAGTGCGGACAGCACCAGCCAAGGGTCACAGGGGAGAAACAGCACCCAGCTGGTGACTGGAGCTCAGTGAAGTCTGGATAGGACAGCATCAGGGCCAGGTCAACATGGGAGGTGGACATTGGTACCAGGTGAACGACATGGGGGCCGCCCCCTCTCAGTTCGTGTGCAGTGACGGACACATTGCCCTCTCGTCTGCTTCTGTCTCCCTTTCAGAGCCAAGAAGAAAAGCAAGCCCTTGAACCTCAAGATTCACAGCAGCGTGGGCAGCTGCGAGAACATTCCATCTCAGCAGCGCTCGCCGCTCCTGTCGGAGCGCTCTCTCCGCTCTTTCTTTGTGGGACATGCACCTTTCCTGCCCTCCACCCCTCCCGTCCACACCGAGGCCAACTTCTCTGCAAGTAAGTCACCCGCCCGCCCCGCCGGGGCTGCTGAACCCTCTTGTCTGCCAGGTGTATGCTCCCCGTTCTGAGAAGCTGCTCGTAAGATGCTTGGAACGCGAGGCTCATCTCCCTCCCACCTGCACCGTTCACGCCCCTTGGGATGGTTTGAAGGGAAGGGGCGTAATTAGCACTTGGGAGGTTGACTGGCTGTTGTCATTGGTCCCTCTGTTCCTACTCTTTCTGTCTGCAGGTGTGGAGGGATAACAGAGGGAAGCAAGCATGCAGGGCATTAAAGGAGACATCAGCTTTTTCTCTCTGCTTCTCTGCTGCCCGGTCACAGGATTTCTCTTGGGTCACTGTGGATAAGGCATCTGTGATTGAATTTTGTAATTTTTTTTTTTTTTCCTCCCGCTCGGGTCAACATGTATAACCCTTCGTCTCAAAGACGTATTTGGGTTCAAACTAGGCTGAGCATGGCCTGGGGTGTTTTACATTCTGCTCCCACGAATTTCTGCCGGAGACAAAACGGTTATTACTCGGAGTGGAAATGGAACTTTCTGGTGATCAAGGGTGGAGGTTTCAGGAGGCGTTTAATCTTCTCTGCCCAGAGGCCCGTTTTGCTGAACAGGCACAGCTGTAGTCAGAGGGGAGCCCCTGAGAAAAGCCCAGCCAGTCCTCCAGCCAAGGCATCAACTTTTATTGGCCGGGAGCTGAGGAGGAGGAGAGGGCTGCCAGAGTGCGAGGGAAATAAGCCCCCGGCCCCCAGCACAACCACAGGGTGATCGTGTTGCTGGTCTGATAAATGAGCAGCAGCGTCCTTGTCACCCACGTGCCTGACCTCATTTAGTTCTCGCGACGAGCCATGGTGCAGACGAGTTATTCCCATTGTACAGATGAGGAAACTGAGGCTCGGGGGCCTCAAAGAACTTGGCGAAAGCCACACAGCTATTGAGTAGTGGAGCCAGGGTTTGAACCTGGTTCCTTCTCGCTCCAGAGCGGATACGCTTCACCATCACACACGATTTGATCCGGGATCCCCCAAATATTCAGTGGGGGGCCTTTCTCTAAATGTGGGGTTCTATCCTTTACCTTTGCCAGAAGGGTTTTCGGGCTTTTTTTTAGGGGGGCTATGGACCTTCTGAGAATTTCACGCAATCTCTTGTTCCTCTCCCTGGAAAGTGGCACACATAACCTCCAACACGGTGTCTTGAGGTCTCAAGACTTAACACAGTCGACGTAGCACCGCTAGATGGTGGGCCTGGGCAGAACGGTGAGCTCAGTTTACTGTCTGCACATGTGCATCATGCGTCCGCCGCAGGAATCCACTGAGGGTCCAGAGTCAGAAGAGGCCCGTGTGGACGTCAGTTAGAAGTTCCAGAACCTGGCCTATTTCAGTGCCCAGGGGGAACAGGCCCTGAATCAGGCGAACTAAAACAGCACCCGGGACACATATCAACACCAGAAGGCCAATTTATTAATTTGTCGAGAGAAATCACGGCCAGAGAGACTGTAAATGCTCCATGGGGGTGAGCCTGTATGCAGTCAGAGGGTGGCTTGGGAGCTCAGACGAGGAAAAGGGGGTGATGACGTATCAAATGTGTCCTAGCAACAGGGTGAGAGGCCCTGGAGGGAGGCGCCTGGGTGCCAGTCCCAGCTCTGTTTCCTTTTTTTTAACGTTTATTTATTTTTGAGACAGAGACAGAGCATGAACAAGGGAGGGGCAGAGAGACAGGGAGACACAGAATCGGAAGCAGGCTCCAGGCTCTGAGCCATCAGCCCAGAGCCCGACGCGGGGCTCGAACTCATGGACCATGAGATCGTGACCTGAACTGAAGTCGGAGGCTCAACTGACTGAGCCACCCAGGCTCCCCAGCTCTGTTTCCTTTTGAGCAGCGTGCCTGACCTTGAGCAGGGCAGAGCCTTTCTGAGCCTCAGTGTCTCCGTCTGTAAAATGGGAATAATAATAGATTAACGAGATCAGCTGCTGCATGTCAGGTCCTCTGCACGGTGCCTGGCACACAGTAAGTGCTTAATAAGTGGTAGCTATCATCATGATGTTTGTTAGCTCCTTTTTCCAGGCAGTGTTGACATCCTCTGGCTTGATGGTTAATCTGAGGGCTGTGGGCAAATGCCTTTCAGTTTCTCCCCCCACTTCCCTATGGCCCTAAGAATGCTTGGAATTTACCTTGGCATGACGCCGGGTGGTTGCATCTGTCTCCGGGCATCGCCTTCCCACGAGTGATGTTAGCATGGCCATCTCTGGGGGTTTGACCACAACTCTGCACTTGAGTTCTTTCCAGAATAGAAACATCTTCAGCGTGCTTAAATAACCACAGACTTGCACATTTAGATCCCTCCTCTCCTGCTGGAAAGTTTTGTGAGGATTCCCCATGACTCCCAACTTTTCATGCCTGCCCTGGTCTCCACGTGAGAAGACAGACTTCTCTCCTCTGTGGGCATGAGCAAAGTCCCTAATTAAAATCAGCCCTTAGCCCTGAGACCCTAGAAGCACAGTTGCCTGTTTGGACAGTCCTGGTCCTTGTATGCAGAGAGGTCACCCTCTGATCTTCCATAAAGGAAGAAAGTAGCATCTGAGTCTCCGCAGGAGAAAGAGTATGTAACTCAAATATTAGCTGGAGTCCCATGGACTGGTCCCATTTCCACTGATGCTAACACATGACAGAGACATGTGGAACAGGCCCGGTGGAACAGGCTCCAGGTTAGGAAACACAGTCTCTAGGATGCCACCGAGTGCTTGTGCGACCTCTGTCCCTCCCTGGTTAAGGCTCACCACACACTTTGAGGCAGGCATTATAATTCCCATTCTGTAGATAAGGAAACAGAGGCTCAGAAGGGTGAATGGTCTTGCCCATGTCATAGGTTTTGAATCCAGATCCAACCTAAGCCTGTATCCCTGCACTTTGGTAAAGCAAATTCCTCTGTCTGGGTCTTAGATTCCCCAGTTGTACAACAAAAGACTCCGTAAGGGTCCATTCCAGAGCTTAGAAACTCTGTGTTTCTAAGGCTTACCCAGTGAGCTTTTCTTGGGCAAATCTTTTGACTCACAATGCTGGTTTGAGGACTCTGGGCTGGGGCGGTTGAGAGGACACATTGGTCAGGCACTGGTTCCCCCGGGCTTGTAATAGTCCTGTTCTCCTCCTACTGTGAACTTCAGAAAAGACCTCTCTGCCTTTGGGCCCCAGTGCCAGCCCAACCCCCCTCTGACCCAGCAGAGGGAGCCCCTAGAGCTGCATCTTGTCACTGTCAGTTCTGTCTGTGGCCGCACGGTGAAGATGACCGTGAAGATGGTGATCCGCCATCTTGTCACCCCTACTGGTGATGCCTGGGGACAGCATTAGGCAGATCTGGCTGTAGAGTGGCCGAGACCCAGACCCTCAGAGCGCCCAGCTTCCTCCCGTGGCCTGCGAGGAGGACTTCACCTCCTTGGGGCTTACCCTCCATTTCTGGTTTGGGAGTGACGAGCACAGGGAGGGAGGGGAACGGCAGGAGCCCCAGCTTGCAGAGGAACCTTTCCCTAAGGCTGACTATGGACAAAACACGAGTTATTAAGCCCTACTGCTCAACGTGGAAGATGGTGACTCAGGAGTGAATCTACTTCCCGAAGGAGTAGAGAGCAGTGGACTTACCTCTCCGTCCTTGCTGTGTTCATTCGGCATTTCATTTGGGCATGCCAAGTTGCCCAGATGGTGTCTGATCGGATGCCCTCCACCCATGGACCAGTTTTGGTCCAACAAGCTGGGTGCTGCTGGCTCCTAGTAGGGTATCTCTGATTCGGGCCGAACTGGGTCAGGCTGCCGCTCTCATCCCCAATAAAGCATCTTCTTCAGAATGAAAAAATACCGGCTAGATGGGAAGGAGTAATTACTCATCATCGTTCATTACCGGCTGGTGGAAGTGACTTGGGGAGTATAGCCACTAAGTGGTTGCTGACATATTGTTGGGCAAATCACCGAACCCCCAGTGTCTGTTTCAACCTGGCAAGGATGTAGTGAGGACACAATGAGGAATGAGTGTAGATTTCCCAGCGCGGTCGGGGTGGGGGAGTGCTTAGAGCACTGAGTCTCCACAAAGGGTAGCTTTGGCAGCTATCGGGGCTCGTTAGATGATGGCATAACTTGTAACAATGATGGAAATGGTGATGATAATAGCAGTTGGCATTTATTGTGTGTTGACAGTGGTACAGGCAGCTTCAATTCAGGCAAAGCAGTTTACTTGTACTGTTTCGCCTGAGCCTCACAGTGCTCCATCAGGTAGTTTCTCTTCTTATCCCCATTTTGCAGATGAAGAAACTGAGGCTGAGAGCATTTGAGTAGCTGGCCCAAGATCACAAGGGCAAGCAGGAAGTGGAGTTTGCACCCATTCTGAACGCCTCGTTCTGTAATGCAGAGGAAATGCGGTTGTGACGCCCTTCGCCGAGACCTGTTTGCTCATCAGACAGAGACCTTAACTCGTTCCAGTTCCCTCTCTGGCACCCCCGCCTCCTGGGGGGATTGTGGTGTTGGGGGTCAGCCTCGCTCCAAGGATCATCATGTTTGTGAGCATGCTGTGCTCACTCAGAGAGCAGCACCCACGCTGGCTGACAAACCACTGCCCTGCCAGACTCCGGTGTTGATACTCAGGGGATCCATTGTCCCAGGTGGTAGCCGTCCCTGTGGGGGCCAGGCAGCTGCAGAAAGCGGCCAGGGCATCTCCGGTAGAAGATGAGGAATAACAGGCAACTTTTACCACCTGCAGTTTTCTGGGTGTTTCTTTATTAGCTGTCTCTGGGGGTCTAGCCCTTGAGGGCAGCAGTTACCAAAGGGAACAAGTGACTGATGACTCCCACACTTCCCCCTCTTGGTCCTAATGGCACCAGCTGGAGTTTTACACCGGGTCCCTGTCTTTTTTTTTTTTTTTTTCAACGTTTATTTTTTTTGGGGGACAGAGAGAGACAGAGCATGAACAGGCGAGGGGCAGAGAGACAGGGAGACACAGAATCGGAAACAGGCTCCAGGCTC